TTGGGAGTCTCGAGGCTATTTGCATCTTGTTGAGAACCATAGCTCTCCCGCTACGTCATTTGATATGTATGAGATGGAGAAGGCATAATTCAGAAGGTAAAGAGAAGCAACTCATGATATAGGTGGGAATCGATTGAGTAACCGATTAAATTAAGATTCACTTCCCCGCAACTGAGAGTGACTTTTCCTTCCACCCTTTCAATCCATGGCAAATCCAGCTACTCGCTAAAGAAAATCAATCCACCCAATTAAAGAAACCCCAACCAACCCGTCTTTCTTTCCCGTATATCTCCTTTTCTTCTCAGTTTATTACCAAATCAATTTAGCAAAACCCAAACGCTAGGTTTTAGAAACAACTCAGATGAGTCACCAGTCCATCTTCAACATCATCATCATCTTCTAAGTTGTGTGCTAAAAACAACAGAAGTTGCTGTAAATAACTGCTGCAAGATTTCGAGCAAGAGTATCTTTGTAGATATACTTTTCCAGAACATCATCTGTGGCAGAAACCATGATTTTGGCAATGGTACCAGTACCACCACCTGTTACATGACTGAGCGAGTACCATTGATAAACCTGGAGACAAGAAAACAAGAGCGTGATCATGTAAAAACTCTAATGATTTAAATCTTGAGGGAAAAATTTTTGTTAAAGTTACTTTTTTTGTTTATGATTTTTTTATTTTAATAGAAAAATATTTTTTTATTAATAACATGATTATTTAAATAAAAACTTAAAGCAACTAAAATAAAATTTATTAAAACTCAAATGATTTAAATTAAATAAAAAATAAAATAAATATTTTTTTAAGACAAAACTTCATTTTTACTATTCATTTATTTCTTTGTGATTTTCAAGGAACTATTTTTTTTATCAAAAAAACATGGATGTTCAAATAAAGACTTATCATAATTTGTAAAAAAATATAAAAAATAATTATTTTTATACAACTTTATACAAAAATTAAAAAATATATAATTATTTAGAGAAAATATTATAAATAATAAATATATATATATATATATATATATATATATATATTCATGAAATAGCATATGCGCAAAGTTTTCTTAAAACTTGTATGCATAAGTTTCATATATAATTATAAAAAAAATATTATAATAAAAATTTGAAATATTATTTGAAAAACATGAACTAATTGGATATTTTTTAAAATATAATAGTAATTAATTATCTAAATAGAATTTTATTATAAGATGGAAGAAATTAAAAAAAAAAAAAAAAAGGGAGCAGAAGAAGAAATGAGGGCCTTGAGAATAAACCAAAAGCACGCCTAGACTTGAAAAATGGTCAGTGCATGCCTAGGCTTGTAATGTATGCTTGTTTGGGTCCAAGGTCTAGGCCCACGTGCTTGATCTTTGGAATCTAGACTAGTTTTTTTTTTTTTTTTCAGGGATTAAAGATATGTTGTTCGCTTGCAATATTTTTCAGTCACTGGATTTATTTCTATTTATTCAGAATTTAAAATCTTTGGATCCTGAAAAACTAAATTTTGATTATTTTTTGTTTAATAATATAAAAAATATCATATAAACCTTTAAAACTATATTTTTAATAACAAAATATATTTTAATTAATTTAAAAACTTCAAATCAAATCAATTTATTTTATAAAAATGAGACCCTAATTATTTTTTATGACATCATTAAAAATTTAAATCAACTTCATTGAATTTTTCTTTTAAAACTGAATATATATATTAAAATTACAGTTATTGATAGCTAGAATCAAACTTCTAAAAACTATCTTTAGACTTTTCTCTTTCCTTTACTCTTTCGATAGTTTTCCCTCCTCTTAACTTTTATGAACTAAAATGTGAAAAATTAAAAGTTATGATTGAAACATAATAACCTAGAAGAACAAGTATTGTATTTTTTTTAATGTTAACTTTGGTTGTTCATTTCTTATTTGTTTTTCTGACAAAAAAATAAAACTTAATTTCATAAAATTGATCATTAATTTAATATAAAAAATATAATGACAAATCAAACAAGCAAGAAAAAATAGATTGAAATAGATTTTAGGACGTAAAATCATAAAAACATAACTTTAAAGGAAGAAAAAAAAAGTTTGGCGATCAAATTGTAAACTATGAAAATTATAGGAACCAAAATATTAAAAATAAAAATGCTTAGTGAATGAATGGTAAAATGTGAAGGTGTGAAAAATGAAAAGCCATGTTGTTTTATCACAAAAGAGATCATTATTTTAATGTTGAAACATCTATCGATGTATTAAGTAAGCAAGAGAAAACAGATCTCAATGCATAAAACAAAAAAGAACATAACTTTAGGGTATGAAATTAAAAAAAAAAGATTAGTGGCCGAATTATAAACCATGCAAAGATCAAGGATCCAAATGTAAATAAGGCCAAGATGAATAATAAAATGGGAGTGTGGGCTTTGTGCTCTGACACATGTATATAATGCATGAACCTCTGTATATATATTTTAAGATTCCTGTTTATATTTTATTAAATTTATGTTGTGGTTTTAAATAAATTTTTGTGATGAAATGTGGAAAAGAAATACTAATTTATTTCAGACAAAAGGATTGAATCAGAAACATAGTTTATTGGTAGTTGTTGCTTTGTCTTGTACACCAAACCACTCCCGTGTTGTAGCCAATGGATGGTATCCTGACAAAGGAACAAGATATTAATAAAAATTCTTGTAATCTTGTTAATAAGGTTTTTACGGGGTACTGTTGGTTTTTTATCATTCTTTTATCTGTTGTTCTTTTACATTTATGCCATAAAGCGGCGAGATTGGTCACCTGCTCCGATCGCTTTTGGTTCCCACTCCGACGTGCAAGCCCTGATTACATCTTGTGGGCTAGACGGACGCGGCCGAAGTCTACTGCTAATTAGGGTTGAGTAAAAAACTTAAAAATTGGTTAAAGTAAAGAAATAAATAAATAATTAACTTGAAAAAATTGAAAGAAAAAATTAAGCTAACCAATTAAAAAATCTAGAAAATTTAGTCATTTTATTTTTTTAATTTTAATTTAAAAAATTTAAAATTAATTAAACTGAATTGAACCGAACCGATTAAATCAACATTAAACCTTACTGTAAAATGTTAATAAATATAAAAAGAGATCTCAAAATTGAATCAACATTACCACTTTCGTTTCTCACCTCATCTCTCGTTCATTTTTGTTTAATCTCGAATTTTTATTTCTACCACAAGATTTTTGATATGATTAGTCTCTTTTTATTATCTACCACTACATAAACAATAGTTTTGATTTATCTAGAGGTAAATCAAACTTATCTCTATTTGTTATTATTTTTTATTTACTGCTTTATGTTTGTTTTTATGCCATAATTTTTCTTAGTTTCTTACTTTTAATCCGTGATTTTACTTTTATAACCTTTACTGAGAAAAAGATTTACATAACATTTATAATTACTAATCTTTTCTGGTAATAATAAAAATAAAAATAAAAACAACAACAACAACAACAACTCAATGATGTTTTGAAATCTAATATGCTTAGAAATAATAATTTTTTCAGTGTTTGGATAAATAATGATTATTTATTCACTTAATATTCCCTAAACATCTGTAAAATAGTCATTTGAGGAATTTAGAAATCCTTCAACTTATTCACTTAATATTCCCTTCTTCAAAGTTTAAGAAATTGGTGATAGAAAACTAAACATCTGTAAAACAGTCATTTGAGGAATTTAGAAATCCTTCAATAATAAAATTAAATTTTTTTAATAAGAGATTGTGATAAATAAGAGAATGGACTTTTAATTATTAAAAACTTAACATTTTTTTATTAAGAACATATGATAAATTTTATGTAAAATTAAACCATGAATAGAGAATTGAAAAGATCTCTCTTTTTATCTAGATAATTCAGATGTATGTATAATCTCTAAGTTTTGTCGTGTTACTTGAATTTATGAGATGGAGCATCATTTTCTTTTGATAACATTAAAGAGAAATAAATATTCATTATACAATATTAATGAGGCATAAATATCTCTTATACAATATTAATGTTAACAAAAATATGATAGTCCTTCTAAAGACTTTAAATGACATGAGAATAAATAAATAAATCCACATGACTTGATACGGGGCTTAAAAGATTATTAACTCTCTCTCTCTATATATATATTTGGTTTAGAAAGATTCTAAATGCAAGAATGATGGATTTGACATCTTATTAGATATATATACACTTGAATTAAGTGTGTAACTAAATACAAGGATGTTGGGTTTAATATATTACCATATATGCATTTAGGTTTAACGTGTATTTTAACCAAAAAAAAATATATTTAACATTCATGTTAACTTGGATTCAGCATATAACTAAACTCAGGACAATTGAGTTTGATATCTTACTAAATTTATATATATTTGGGTTCATTAAATAACTAAACTTAAGGATATTAGATCTAAAAATAAATTTAAATTTATATTATTTAGGCTTGACATCCTGCACCTAAATACATTAAGTTATTAACTTGCATTTAATCTTTTTAATTTTTTAATTTTAAGCAAAAATACTTTTATCTATCAAACTTATAGTGACATGATACATAAATATATTTTAAATTATAAAAATCTAAAAATAGATTAGTGGTGTATGTTGATTCAAAAAATTTAATATTTGAGATTATGGTAAAAATTATTTTTTAAAGTTTTTTTTAGTTGTGTGTTGATTCAAAAAATTTAATGTTTGAGATTATAGTAAAAATTATTTTTTAAAGTTTTTTTTACTTAAAAATATATTAAAAGAATTTATTTATTTTTAAAATTTATTCTTAATATTAACACATTAAAATTATTTAAAAATATTTTAAAAAATAATTTTAAACCAAAAATAAAAATAAAACAGCCAAAACAATCGAACTCTAAAAATATGCTTTAAAATCGAAACCTTCGTTGGATGTTCTGGACCTCGAGGGTCATGTCAGTAATTTCACGAAACGCATTGTTAATATCTTTCCCACTAGTGAACTGAAATTCAATCGACCGCTTATCCATCGTTCGTCCAAGGAAATCAATCAAAAGAAAAGAGAATCGTGATGCACAGAGAGCGAGGGATTGGTGTGTCCAAGACGGATGTCGATCATCGAAAGCAGCGGATTAGCGATGTCCTCGATAAGCATCTCGACCGATCCTCTCCGTCCAGTTCCAGACCCACCAACGGCAAGGATTTGTTTCTTTTCATGAACAAGCAGCAACCGCCTGATCACAACAACATTGACCATCTCCTCTCTAAAGACAACAACGCCTCCGTTGGTAATTCATCCACTTGTTTTTTCCGCGTATTTGTATTTTTTCTTAGAATTAATTTTATGTTATTCTTACTAATTGTGAGTATTTTCGTGTGATTTAAGACATTTGTTAAATGTTTTTAGAATCAACAGTATAACTGGACTTTGATATTGAGGTTGGAATGTATAGGTTTTGTTTTTTCTGTATATCTGAATATCAGTGTAACTGTTTTTTTAATTAGTTTTAATGTGTGAAATAGCTGTTTTTTGAATGCAGTGGAATCTGACACGGACAGCGAAGAGTCTGATGTCAGTGGTTCCGATGGAGATGAGACGTCGTGGATCTCATGGTTTTGCAATCTAAGAGGGAATGAATTCTTTTGTGAAGTTGATGATGATTACATACAAGATGATTTTAACCTCTGTGGGTTAAGCAGTCAAGTTCCATACTACGATTATGCCCTTGATTTGATTTTGGATATTGAATCCTCTCATGGTGTGATTTCTTTCCTTTTACTGAATTGCATTGTTCATCTTGCTATGTTTATGAATCCTTTATTGCTACTTGTGTGCTGTTTTGAGACACCCTTAACAGGCAATAAAGTTTACATTAGCCGTGTTATAACCTGACAATTAAGTATTGGTAGATAAAGGGACTTGTTGTAGTCTCAATCACTTGATTATTTCTGGAAATTGATTCGGATGGATAGGTGATATGTTCACAGAGGAACAGAATGAATTGGTTGAATCTGCAGCAGAGATGCTTTATGGATTGATTCATGCTCGATATATATTGACCAGCAAAGGGATGGCAGCTATGGTGAGGTTTTGCTATTTGACATGGACATTTCCATGCTTTTCTTGATTTTAATGTTTGGGCAGTGGCTAACAATGATGCTGCTGCAATTTTAACAGCTGGAGAAGTACAAAAACTATGACTTTGGAAGATGCCCCAGAGTTTACTGCTGTGGACAACCTTGCCTTCCAGTTGGTCAATCAGACATTCCTCGGTCAAGCACTGTTAAAATATGCTGCCCCAGATGTGATGATATGTACTACCCACGTTCCAAGTATCAAGGCAGTATCCTTAATTGCACTCAATATTCTTTTACTGGGAAATAGTATGCGCTCCTTGTTTATATGGCTGTTATTGGCAACATTAGTGGTTCTTTTGGCCTAGAGATTGAACTTTCCAATTTGATACGATCTATGGTGTGTATTTATAGGTCTAAGGAGTTCGATTTAAGATCGTTTCATTCATTGGTTCATGCTTGTTTTTATGTGTCCATATATCTTTTCCCAGCCATCAAATAGATGTCCCTGCAGTTAAGACATGGGGATTTCCACTTGGATGTTGCAGTTTCAAACCTTGGGGGGGG